AATAGTTATCGTAATAGCAATAATAATCGTAACAACGCATAATACAAATGCTAAAATCGCAGTTTATAGGATAAAGTTAAAACTTATTATCGCAGACAAAAGATACTTTTTCAGTGAGCTTTTCTGTACTTATTCATCAAGTTCTTTTGGAAAAACTGGCAAGTACTGTTGGTATTTTTCATCACAAAGAGATACTTTTTACGACCACGCGATGTATGTCTGTCGATATCTCTTTTCATTTAATTTACAGTAAATTGTGTATTGTTAGACCCAGAAAAAATACTAAAATATTGCGGGGTTTTCTTCGAGTATTATTTCCTATAAGCTGTAAGTGTGCTTGTTATAGATAAAACTGTCGTTTTCTATTTTTCTCCTTTTCTTTCTCTCTTTTCTTTTTTCTCTTTGCTGTCTCCGTGCGGAATTACGGAATGTTTGCACACACCATTTCTGAATTCGTAATATAATCGTAATTATAACAGTGAATGTTCGGAATTGTATTGTGATATTAGCTATGTAACCGGTTTTTAATGCCCAGCGAAGTCCGGCCTGTCAAATGATGCTTACTATTATGTGACATTCTGTAACACATCACTCTGATATACACAGTATATGGGATCTCAGGCAAAGGATCGAGTAGACACTAAAATGACTGAAAGCAAAAATATCGAAAGTAGCAAAACTTTTATAAATAATATCAATAGCAGATCTTACTAACATGAAAAAAATTAAATGGAACAATAAACATGAAACTCTATTAAATAATGTATCAAAAAGATAATGTACTAAATCTACACTTCTTATTCTACAAGACACTGCATTGTAAAATTCAACAGCTGAATTTTCACAATTGGAAATTATATCTAGTATTATAATGTGTGAAAAATGTACCATTATAAGAAATTACATTACTCTGTATCGGTGAGAGAAGCAGAATAAAATCTCTGTATATGATCCAAAGCCTGAGAGTTGATGAATGTAACACTGCTTGGCAAATGTATAACAATATTATAATATGATATGCAACATTTATAATCTAATCTTATTTCGGTACTAATTGTCAGTTGTGCTGGGCATCCATTCATATCGTAAACGAAAATCTCGAATGTACATTCGTAGTACATTTTTAACGTGTAAAAAAACATTGCAATCACTTACCAATGTAATAACAGATAATAAAAACCGTTTGTATAATATCGGCAATCTGTGTTCTGGCAGTTGCAGTTGTTGCAACTTTTTCCAGTACTATTGTAAATTGTATTGTATGTAAATATATTATAATATATAGCTGCATCTGTTTAGTAATTTGATTGTATGTGAGGTAAGGAGCCTGTTTATATGAATGGTACGACTTAAAAGGTTACGATTCTAGAGGACATATCCTGTGCCCCATTTGCTAGAATCGCTATTATAAATCGTACTTATGGAACTATTGTCATCTGTAAAATATAATATAAAAGATCCTGAGTTGTACTGTGTGGTACTATGGCTATGGAATTGTGCGGCAGATATCTGTGCTGGTTTATTTTTATAGAAGGCTTGAACTTAAATGTTTCTAATAAAAAGATAAAATTATGGCAGAAATTGTCAAAACTCAATATGGCAGAATTGATTATCGACATTATTCTCAAAAATAGTTAAAAACTGTATAAGTGCTAAAGCTTGATATAAATGCATCTGAAAAATACAAGATATATTCCTGATAAAAATTTATAAAAAAAATATAATTAATTATTGCCAAAATATTATTGCCCTTTTTTCTTTCCGTAAAGATATAAAGATATACTATAGAGTTTCTCTAGTAAAACTGTTGCTACATGTATGAATTTTACATAAAATGCTATTGTATTTTTTGACACTTTAAGAATTTTTTGTATTTGAAAATTAATAAATATAAATTAAAAATATATACAACTCAAAAATGATATATGACTTATATATAAATTATATATAGATATATGATATATATAAATTATATACAAACTATATATATATATATATATATATATATATATATATAATTAAGCACTATATCATTTAAAAACGTTGTTTGAGCATTATAATCTTTCTACACAAGAATAGTGAAATAAAAATATCTTTATGGTATTGTCATTAAACATATGTATCACTGAGATATAGAGCAAAATACTCTTGCACGGACATGCTTATAGACAAGAAACCAGCAGAGACATTGCCTTCTTATTATATATTGTTAAATTCAATCTGCTGCATTATTGCGATCACGGTTTGTTGATAACTGTTAATAATAAATATTATTACTCTGTTGAGCTGTCAATTGGCTGTATATTGCAATGTATGCATGTGAAAAATATATCATGTACGAGCTATGTCATTGCACATTGCGTTGCAATAATAAAGTAAATATAATCCTCTGTAAGAATATAATATTGTTGTAAATATCTGTAGTCTGTATAACACTGTATAGCATTAAATAAAACAACAAGTATCCGGCTGCAGAATTATCAGTACGAGGTGGGATGGCTGCTCCACCATCGGCATTTTAGTCGTTCTCTCCCTCATCATTAGCGTTCATCTTTACGATGAATAGGCACGGGACTTTATATGTAAACTAGTCTCCCAAACCTATATACACTGTCGACCTTCGTATGAATTATCATTCGAATGATCTTTATAGGCGTCTTATTACGGACGAAAACAATCAAGTGCGCGACTGTCAATCGTATTTGACTTCTTGTCTTCCATTCGTGTTTGTGCGACAAGAATTGCATACACGTTTCTCAAAAAGATTTAAAATTATAAATTATTACACCCGTGCACACACATACACACCACTGTGCACAGGATCTGGATTATTAAATACGGAATCAGCCTTGTGTCGTAACGTTATTTCTAGCTACTTGTCGGTCAACTATGAAGATACGTTCCCTATTGAATCACAAGTTCACTAAACAATAAAGATAAACTTGATTGTTACTATATCACAAAATGATACAACAAACTGGGCACGAGATATTAGATTAAAAAATAAATAAACATCCTGTACACATTAGTGATACGTAGCATCGAATTGCAACATCCCACTAGCAAAATGCTTTGAATCACTAATCTGCGCCACCTCTACCGAATAAGCATTATCGCCAGCTTGTGTCTGATACGATCTGAGCTTTGGTTCCGTGGTGCCACCACCACCACCGCTAGCCCCACCTTCCTCGGTGATATTCCGAGAAGATGGGGCAGGAGCCGCTAAAAGCACCTTATTATCCACCTGAGTCTGAGCTTGAATCTGAGCTTGTGTTTGAGCCTGAACTTGTGTTTGAGTTTGAGTCTGAGCTCCTCCCTGAACCTGCGTTTGTCCCTGTCCCTGTCCCTGTCCCTGGACCTGAACCTTAACTTGATGTTGGTAGATTTCTTCCTGACGTTGCCTGTCTGCCACACTGAGGTCGTGGAAACTGACCAGGTGACGCTTCAGGTACAGCTTGGTCTTGAATGGCTTGTTACATAGAGGGCAAGTGACACTCTGAGGGTTGTGGATGAGGCGCATGTGCTGCCGCAGGTTGGACAAGTTACTGTACATGCGGTTGCACACAGGACAGGGGCGTGGGTCCAGCGAGTGCAGTTTACGCAGGTCAGCTGCAACACACACACAACTTGCTCTAACCGGTAGCAGCCCACAGCATTGCACGTTACCACAGCATAGCACCACGCCTTTTCACACCACGTATAATATCAGAATGATACCACCCACCACAGGACAGCAACAACCAGCAAACAACCCTATTTTTAGCGCTACCCAATTTTTGCTGCCTGCACGGTACAGTACAAAAAGAGTACCCCCCGCAAGAGTATTACTTGCAAGGATGCAATGAGTCAAATATGTTTGGCAGACAAAACAATGGTAATGCAGTAAGAAAAAACATATAGTTTGAAAACAATGGTAAGCATGAATCGATGAATGACAACTAGTTAAAATCTCTTGTTTATATGTTTATTGTGTATTTTTGTAATTTTTTTTATGTAGAACAATACTTTCCTAGAAGATTAAATGTGTTAGACACAAATTTGTTTTTATATGTGACATATAATAAAACATGATAAAAATTTCAATTTAAAAATTACTTTAAAAGAGAACATATATAAATTTTTATTAATAATAAGATTTGATGTCTTCATGGTTAGAAGAAAAGATATTGATCAAAATTATTTTGTGTATTCAAAATTATTTTGTGTACAAAAAAAAAACATCATTATGATTGAAACAACATTATATTATAAAACGTGAAATTTATTATAATTTGGCACATTATTCATATTTCTACTTCTTTATTCATTAACAATAATTATAAATTAATAAATATTTATTAATAAATTCTTTAATGCAATTATATTGTGCTTAAAAAATAAATAGCACCACATAAACATATTCATATTGTATTTAATCCAAAGCAATATGTACAAGCCGATTTGAAAATTTGTCATATGTATGTATGGCATTTATAATGAATAAACGAGAAAGCAAATGATTAAAAGATAGTCTTTTTGATTTGAGTGTTAACTTTTTAATAAGCAATTATCTTTTATATTAAACACTTTTTTCAGAGTTAGATCTAATTCAGTGTATGTATGCTTAATATACACATATATGTGTATATGCGTACGTAAAGCAGGAAAACAAGATTATAAAGCATATTGGGATGGGGTTGTTCCTTGAATATGTACACGCAGGACTTAGTTGTTAATGATTCAAGTTTTTCCGGGCTATTTCGGTAACGTTCATACAACACAGCTGCTTAACTGCAAACTGCACTCTGTGGACTCAGGCCTATTGCAGCCTCCGAGTGTCAAATGTCTCCTACCGCCTACCAAGACCTACCGAGCTACACACGAGCTTACCATTTCAAACCATCAAGATTCCTTTCTGCTTCCTTGTTTCTATTCACATTTGACATTTGTGATGTAATGGCTAGGTTGTTGCTGTTTGTAATGGTGCTCGCACTACCAACAAATAATAAATTCTGACTCACCTTGCTGCTCCTGGTTTAATTCCGTAGTTCCATGCGATGGACCTGGCATTCCTCCTTCCACATTTTGGTTTCCTAAAATAGAAATGTTAATATGAATTTGGATTTTTTTAAATAAAGATGTTAATATGAATTTTAGCACAATTTAAAATTTATATTATATGATAAAATGAAAAAAAGAAAGAAAAAATTTATACATTTAGAAAATTCAATTATACATCGCAAAACAATTATATAAAATATTTATTTTTAAATTTTAACATTAATTTTTAATTTCAATTTTTTTAGAATAAACACATTTTGTAAAATGATGATTACCTTGATAAGATGATGGATAAGATGGTAATACTTCCATACCACTATCCAAGCTGAGAAATCCACTGGGTAATGTATTAGCTTCTGGTTTAGGTGAGCAATCGTCATCACTGCCATATTCAGGTAATTCTATTTTTGGCTGAAGGTAAAAAAAGTTAAAAATAAATATCACAAGAATCTTTATACATATGCAATACATTGACATGATCAAAAATATTTATGATATAATGTGAATAAGAATATATACCTCAACAACATCGAGATCTTTATAACAATCGAGCTGAACTTGAGGCTCGATGAGCGGGCGCGAGCGAGGTGCAATAGTAGCACAAGGCGGTATAGAGGGTGTTGGACTAGAAATTGGAGGTGAATCACTTTTTTTACACAGCCTTTTCAGTGGTGGAGGGCTTGAAGTTGGTGGAGTTCTACTGCGTTCATCGTCAAAGCTCGGTGAGATCAGACCACGGCCATTTGATGTATGGATGTTATTTGTCTTCAAATGCTGCAAATTATTAAAAATTATACATTACAATATGAGCATTACATGTATATATGAACACAAAGGTGCAATAGGAGACATATATATATATATATATATATATATATATATATATATATATTCTCAAATTTATATGAAACAAACCTTTTCATTGTTGTGCTGATTACTTTGGGAGTCGGTGAGGCCACGAATTTGAAGAGATTCAGCAGTACGTAGAAATGTAGGTAATTCGGCCTGCGAGATATTTACCTCTCCGGCGTACATAAATTCCAATAGCGACTGTAGATGTTCAAATTCAACATCTCGCATGAAAATTATTGGATGCTTGCAAGGATTTGTCTGGAAAATAAATTCTATGTAATACTATTAATTTTATATTAGTTCATTATTACTTATTAATTACAGAATTTGAAATATTCATAAAACCAAAAGAAATCAAAGTAATATTTTTAAAAAATATTGCTCTCTTTATTAATCTTTTTTTATTTTAATTATCAAGTCTATATTATTATTAATACAATTTTCCTTGACAAATTAACTGTATTTATTTTACAATATCTATCTTTCATAAATAATTGTTATATTACATAATAAATATATGAATGATTTTTTATACATACATATACATATACATATATATATATATATATATACAGGGTCTACCAAAAGTGTGGAAACCCCTAAATATCTCGGAAAATATACGTTTTACAGAAAAGTGTTTCCAACAAAAGTTGTAGGGTTTAAGAAGATCTATATACTGATTCTATCAGTTTGACCTTGGATGGCGTCGTCAAGGTCAGGTCAAGGTCACATTGACTTTTTTAAATGACACCCCCTACATTTGATTGCATATTCTTATAGCTTAATTCAAGAGCTTTCCAAAACACTATAATAATGTTCATTTTTATTAAGTACTTTGCGAGTTATGAGGGTTGAAATAATTTCTTAATTTTACATAAACCATAAAATATCTAGTAAACCATTCATTTTTCGATTATCTTACCTTCATACTTTTATGTACAAAATAATGAAAGGAATCAATTGGTGTAAAGAAAACATACAGTTGTTTTTAAGAAAAAATATGGAATTGTTAATTGCAAATTACATATTTTTTCTTAGAAACAACTATGTGTTTTCTTTACACCAATTGATTCCTCTCATTAATTTGTACATAAAAGTATGAAGGTAAGATAATCGAAAAATGAATGGTTTACTAGATATTTTATGGTTTATGTAAAATTAAGAAATTATTTCAACCCTCATAACTCGCAAAGTACTTAATAAAAATGAACATTATTATAGTGTTTTGGAAAGCTCTTGAATTAAGCTATAAGAATATGCAATCAAATGTAGGGGGTGTCATTTAAAAAAGTCAATGTGACCTTGACCTGACCTTGACGACGCCATCCAAGGTCAAACTGATAGAATCAGTATATAGATCTTCTTAAACCCTACAACTTTTGTTGGAAACACTTTTCTGTAAAACGTATATTTTCCGAGATATTTAGGGGTTTCCACACTTTTGGTAGACCCTGTATATATATATGTATATGTATGTATAAAAATTCATTCATATATTTATTATGTAATATAACAATTATTTATGAAAGATAGATATTGTAAAATAAATACAGTTAATTTGTCAAGGAAAATTGTATTAATAATAATATAGACTTGATAATTAAAATAAAAAAAGATTAATAAAGAGAGCAATATTTTTTTAAAATATTACTTTGATTTCTTTTGGTTATTTCTTTGGTTTGCATATATATATATATATATATATATATATATATATATATATATATATGCATCACGAGAAAAGCAATGTTTTTATTATAATAATACAATTTTAGAGATATTTAATTTATTCTCCTTTATTTCAATTTTTTAATACTTATAATCGTGCGAGCGTAAAAAATTATTGATATCTTTAACATTCATTATGATTATCATTCTTCTATTTTACAAGAAATATTCATATTCATATTTAACTGTAAATATCTCATTTAGATAATTGAATTTTTTCTTTTTCTTTTTTTGAAAAAATGCACGAGAGATAACGGAGTAGATTACCGCTGCATAATTTTGTCTGTGAAACGCGAGTACGTTTAATTGAACAAACATATATGACGAATACGTCATCCATTTATCGACCTCCCCCCGGGTCTTCGCAGGCGCGTTAATTGCCGGTCAGCAATTACAAATTTTATTCGGCGCGGTCGCAAAAGCCTGCGGCGATGGCGGTGGCGGTGGCGGTCGGGTGGCGAGGGAGGGAGGGAGGGGAGGGAGAATCAACCGAGGGTGAAAAATACATGCAAATATCATGACGTAATCGCGAGCACAAATATACGTCTCGCTTTGAAATGAGGCGCGACGAAAAAGATAAGACGCGTAAGAGATCGTCATGTAAATAGGTATTGTGTAATTTTGGAATTATTCATCGCGAGATGAGACGAAGGAAATGCATGTTACGTGTGCGCGCACACACACACACACACACACACACACACACACACACACACACACACACACACACACACGCGCGTCGCGGATGGAGGGGGAACAGAGCGGTAGAAACGAACAGGAGGAGGCAACAGGGGCGGAGGGAGAGGGACGAGGAGCAGACGGGAGAGGACGGACGGGAGGGGACGGGAGGAGGGCGGCCGCCGCGCCGGGGGACGCGAAGGGGGAAGAAGGCTGAGGGGTGCAGAGGAGGGGAGGGAGGACGGAGGCGGGGAGGAGGGGGAGCTCACGTCTAAGGTGGGGAGCGAGAAGAAAATGGTTTTCTAACCTTGAACAGCTCCTTGAAGTAAGGGCTGCACGCGGAAAGGACGACCTTGTGCGCCTGGAGTCGCCTGCCGTCGCACGCGAAGGTAACGTCGACGAAGTCCTCGTCATCTCGCAGCGCCTCGAACTGGCTCGTGATGTTCGCCTGAAAGTTATTCCACCGCAAGCAAAACTGCTGCTGGCTATCCGTCATTCTCTTCGCACGCTCGACTCCCCTTCAACAACACCTATGATCACACATGTGGGGGCTAACTTAGAGTACCATACGCCCGTGGGAAAAACTTAACTCTCTCATTACTGTAAAAATGTAAAATGTAAAAAGAGTGAATCGATGACTGAAGAGGAAACGTACGATATAAATAATGACAATCGATATCCAGGTTGCCAGCTGTCGGGCAGAAAAATTCTCTAGGCGACGAACGGCGGTCGCGCCTCTCGCGAGGCGCGAGAAAACGCCGTGATTCGATACTCGCGGATATCAATTCCGTCGAATCTATCCCGCCAGAGATTCGCTTACGCTTTTGGCGTACAAATTGCGCAAGGACTTTTTGAAATTTGATGAATATTTTTTTATATAAATTCAAGGAAATTCTCTTTTATCAGAGAGATTAAATAATTTTAAAATTTGTCTATTATTTATATCGTAGAAAATAATGCGAATTTTAAATATTAAGTGTCATCAAATGTAGAAGGCCATTCTCATTTTCATCCCGGAGACAATCGAATCATTATTCTTAAGTGCTTAATTTAAAAAAAAAAATAAAAATCTAATCAAAAATTGTTTTTTCAAATGCATTATTTATTCGAGTCAAAATCAGGAATGAAAAATGATTAGTTTTTCAATCAAAGCAGATTTCAATGTTAATATACGACAATTGTCTTTCTATTCATCGAGGATGATAAAAATTAGCGTAACTTACATATGTATCCTTAAACTGTATTATTCGCAATAATAAAAATTCAAATAACACTTTTCTATGGCACGCGTATCGAAAATGAAATGCACAGTGATTAGTGACACGAGTGCCCGTTTCATATTCATGGGCGGCAAATACGTCGAAAACGTTGAATGAATTATCCCTAGCCATCTCATCCAGTCACGACGTTCGGACGGCGCATGCGCCGTCGACGACGCGCGCTCTTGCGCCGACTGTCGAAACTGACGGCGGACGAAACGGATATCGAATTTTCGGAAATAATAAGCTACACATGCAACAATACTTCGATCCTGCTGCGAGTACACATGTGCATGCGTGTTGCGTAATTACGAATGCTCGTTTGTGGTATATGTGCGATGCAAAAATATGGCGGCTCCGTTGCGGAAACAAAAAAGCATATCAAATCGTGCAACGATTAATGCAACGCGAATTACAGATTAACGAGAGATTTTGGAATAATAATTAAAAAAAAGAAGAACATTAACGTTCTTGCTGACAGAATAATGTTTAGTTTTTATTATTTTAGAGAGATGTATTTTATATGTATATATATATATATATATATATATATATATATATATATAATATAATTTGAAAAGAAACTGTTTGGAATATTCAGCGAGCGTGCATTTAAAAATATAATGTTAAATAAAAAAATTCAATATTTTTATATTAAAGAAACAAAATTATTTGAAAGATTATTATTTTATTATTACTTTATTAGAGAGAGAGATTTGATCAAATAATAAAAATTATAATATCTCGAAAAAATAATATAAATATTAAATAATTAATATATTTGATCATATTAAATGCAACATTTATTTTTCTATTTAACATGACAGGAGCTTGACCGAGCGTTAGAATTGCTCGACATGAAGTTAGTCGAAGGAACGCTCGAAAGGCATACGTACAATTATATCGCCCGCGAAATTTGATACCCGGCATGATAAAACGGCGTTTCGATATTCATCTTAAGCGAGACATTTTTTAATCGAATGCACCATCTAGGTATTTGTGTATCATGACTGATGAATTAAATCAAGTCCACAGAAAACTAATATTTTATCGATCAATTTAATATCATAAAACCTTGTTATTTATTTTTTTACAATGTAAATTCAATTTGTCATGTGTCAGTCATTCAAAATGACAGTCAAACGTAGATTATGTTGTACTATACGTCGTACATATATACGCGAGTATGTATTTTGAGTCATAGCGCACATAATATCTAAGTACGACGTCGGTTCGATCTACCAGCGGCCAACTTCAGATTCCCTGAATGCATAAACGACGCCGAGCATACTCTCGGTCGTGTGCGCATCCCGTGAGGCGCTCGTGGATCTCTCGTAGGCCGCACACGATTTTATCCTATATTTAACGCGTTCTGTCTCAAGTCCGGACTGACGTCTCGCGTCTCGTCCGCCTGCGTCTCCCTCGAAGCCGCGACTCTCGCTTGACTTCGCGTCGTTCGCGTCCCTGCTCGCGACGGTATACGACGGAACGCGACACGCGGGAGTGCGGTGTCCCGAGTTTACGGAAAATATGTCAGTGACGTGAACGTGCACGCGGTAGCCTTTGCGTCAAGCTCCCTTGCGTTTCACGAGCAACGAGAATGTGCGCCAGGCATCGACGCACGGTAAGAATGGATCGAATCCGTCTCCGTTTCTCGTCGCGATTCCGCCTTCCTTTAACCTATCCCGCCCTTAGGCTCTCTCATTGTCAGGTTACTGCGGGAATATTCAATCGATACGTACATTAAAAGAGGCACTCGAGCGACCTCGAGCTCGGTCACGCGAATATATCGCGCTCGGTTCGATGCACGCGTCGCCGATTCGCGACGTCAACAGCTGATCGGATCCTTTAGCCCGATTCGCTCTCTCGGGCTTTATCACCTGTGCACCCGTGCTGTGATACGCGAAGGGAGGGGACGGACAGGTGTATCTGGGAGAATCGAAGCATTTAGCGTGATCACGCGTACCTTGTACTTTGCACCGGGTATCTTTTTTTTTCCACGAGATATAGCGCTCCTATAACCTAAAAGATGAACTCCAGTTACAGTCGCAGGCTCCGTCATATGTCCCCTCCCTCTCCTCCTTTCCGCTTTTTTATCGTCTATGCACTTTACTCTTTTTCTGCAGGATTTCTGCATTATAGACTGTTCGATGATTTCTATATGATGCATGATTTATGTAACGCCGATATGGTCACTGTGAGAGAATTCCTGCGAGATATATTGTGTCACAATGCCCATTCTCACACATTTGTACTCTCGACAAAGTAGATTTGTTTTTATTATATTGATATCGAGACGTGAAGAATGACATAACGAAAAATAGCAATTCTATGAAATAATTAAGAGAGAAAAAGTAAAATAAAAAAGGAGGTGTAATCATTATGAGAATTGCATAACTTGTGAATTTTAAGATGGTCACTTTAATAGTGTGCAACCAAATATAATTTAAAATCAATAGATTATAAAATAATATATACATATATTAAAAAATAGAAAAAAGTTTTAGTGTAAAATTTCTCAACAATTTATATTAATTTATATTTTTTTATGTGATTTCAGTATCTGCACAACTTCTTTCATTGGTGATTGTGGTGGTTTCCCATAGTGGAAACCAAAAATTTTATACTACGTTACGGTGAGTAATTTTTAATTTATCCTTTGAAAAAAAAAATATATATATATATATATATATTTTATTATTTATTTAATATATTTCCCTAATTGCTTCAAGACATAGTTAAAAATCAATATTTTCAGCCAATGTTGCGGCCCCTATTTTTTATATTAATATTTGTAATATTTAAAAAAAGTAGTTATAAAAATAGATGAATAGATGAAATCATATAAATTATTCCCTTCAAAATTCTTAGTTCTCAAAAATGTAATTTTTTTCACTCCTATCTAGCTTTCCTAAAGATGACACACTAATCTTATCTCCGTTTAAATAAACAGTGTTAAACATGTGCGAATTATACGACAAGGGATAATAAGCTCGTACCTTTTTACGATTCCAAATATTACTCTAAGACTTCATGAATCTCGCGGCCATCCAGCGGAAGCACCATAGAGCACTGAAAAGACTACATAACTATTGTATCATATCAACCGAGCATTACCTTAATCTTGGTAGGAGTCGAACGGACTTGGCAATGTACAGTCTGTGCAGAAAATGACACGATTCAAATGAGTATCGGCTCTGTTAATGAGATGTTCACTTCTCCGGAATTACTTCATTCCGATTCAATCAGTTTGCTCTTCGTTCTCGAGACTAAAGTATGCTGTTGCAATTACAATCCATTCTAAACAACATGTAAAGTATTTTTTTCAGCAGGAGAATTAAATTACAAAAAAATTACACGTGTGTCTATGATAAAAACAATAATAAAAATTTATATTTATCAACGATAAAAAAAACTCGTGCAAGTAGCGCTTCTAGAAGTTTAAAAGTTATTTATCGTGTGTGTAAATAATTTTTATTCCATTTAAAAAAATTATTTATATCTACTTATTTATTTCTAATGATTTTTTAAGTGAAAACCCAGAGATAAGTACAATTATAGTATAGCAATTATAAGTGCAGAGTTACATGTTGCAAGTGATTGTGAAAAATATATAGGATATTTCAGGATAGGAGTTTTCTTAAAACTGACATTGTTCAAAAAATTTTAGAAAAATGATAATTTAAAAAAAATTATCACTTGATGATTGATTATTCAACTATATTTTTTATAAAACATTTTTATATTATAATAAAGTATAATAAATTATTTATCTTTGTAATTTTTTATTATTTAATTTTTATATTTTATTTATTTCTAATGATTTTTTTAATGAAAACCCAGAGATAAGTACAATTATAGTATAGCAATTATAAGTGCAGAGTTACATGTTGCAAGTGATTGTGAAAAATATATAGGATATTTCAGGATAGGAGTTTTCTTCAAAACTTGACATTGTTCAAAAAATGTTTTAGATAAAATTGATAGGATTTTGAGAGGAAAGAGACATTTGATCACCTTGAAAAATGACCTTGATTAAAATTCAAGCTTATCAATTTTTTTTTCTCCTCAAAATTTTATCAATTTTGTCTATAAAGTTTTTGTATAATGTCAAGTTTTGAAAAATACACTTTGTTTATAAGTATTTTACATAAAGTATAAAATAAATGCTAATTCTTTTTTTATCTTAATTACTACGTCTACAGTTGCATATTTTGCATTAATCTGTTACATATGTTACATATATTATCTAGAGATATTATTTTCTAAATGCAACGTATACATATTGGATGTCTTTTAAATAACAGATTCTCTGGCTAACTTGAAGGCAATTTTTCTTTAATGAAAATATCGAGGAAAATTATCACTTTTTGCAAGTTTCAAATTTTTTCCATCATGCGTTTTTATCATTTATTGTTTCAAATTAAAA